GGGCATCTATTTAGTTCTTGAAAGAAGGGAGCTGCAAAGTAAAGAATGAAATGTTCTGGTGCCTCTGACGTTCTTACAAGGGATCCCTTACAAGGATCTCTGAGGATCTCCAAGGGAAGACACAGCAAAGCATGGTTGCATAGACTATTGACCTTCTAATGCTAACAACCTGTTGTTAAGCATTGCCTGGTCATTATGCTTCTTCTTGTTAAGCTACTGATGAGACTGTAAAGATATAAAGTAGATTAGAAAGGGATGAATTAGGCTCTAGCTTCACCTGTCAGAAGGTTAAGGCTTGGATTATGCTGCAATCTGAATTCACAAATGACTCATCAATTTGCACTTTCTATTAAAATATATTTTAAGTCCTCAAAATTATTTTGGACAATTCTGTCTCGTACATGAAAAATATATTGTGTCTCTACATAATACTGTCTGCAAAAACCAGCAAAGGTTTGTGTACCATTTACATAATATATTTCCTGTGCCAATAGTGGTTTACCATAATGACTGTATAATCCAAGGGCAGCTTAACATAGAGAGTGCATTTCAATGCTGCACTTTCTTTTTCCTTTTTAAAGAATACAAATACTAACTGAAATGTAGATAAAGAAAAAGTAAGCAATAAAATATTCTGTAGTATTAGCCAAATATTCTGAAAAGACACATTCCCCCAGCCACAGGCAGCCATACTTGGTGATAGTTGCACACATCTCAAGCTGCATTCTAGAGCCCAATAAATTCTGCCACAGTCCAAACCAGGCACCAACACTGTTCCAGTTTCTCTGCCTGGTTTATGTGCCAGGCATAAGCTTGGGAATCTTATTTGAGTATGTGGATCAAAGATTTAAAAGAAAAAAGTTTTCCAAGGTTTGGGTTCGAAGGATCACTCTATAAAGCTTATCTATCATCTGGTTTGTACATCTGTCACCATTAAGACTGACAATAGCAGTATTTATTATGCTATGCTATGCTATACTCTGTACAGATACAAGTGTTTTCCCTTTTTGAGAATTAACATAATCTTCATACTTGTTCTCTTATGAAAGACTTCCAGTTATGATATTTTTCAGATATGTATTTTAATGTTAGAATGTAGAAGAGCAAGAGAGATCTCTGTATCATGAAAAGGTTATAATTAAAATTTCTGAAACCACTTGCTTCAAAATGCTTCTTACTGTTATGGTTCCATATGGAAAAACTGGCAACTTCAGCCCAAGACCAGGATTTCCTTCCACATCTTTCAGGAATGACTGTGCTGCTAATAGTCACTAAGGAGCTAACAGGAAAGAAGAAATTCATAAGGTAAATCCAGCCACAACTCAGGATCGCACAAGAATATGGCCTTTCAAAAGAGAGGCGACAAAACAGCCCCTGCCTTTGATATAACTTCTGATGAAGGACTGAGAATAGCTAAGTAAACAACTTCTGTGGTCCTCATGGAGCTTTTGTGTCATTCATGTTGGACATGTTTATTTGAAAATTCTTACATTTACATCTCTTTTGATCTCTGCTCAACAAAATCAAGTTTGTGATGCTTCACATGATGCCTAAATTTTTGTATTTTCTGACTGAGACTTACTTGCCTGTTATTTATTTGGGGGATATTCTATGTTATAATTGGCATGTTTGATTTCCACACATCTTGAGAAATCCTTGCGCTGTTATCATTAGGTGCTTTTCTGAGAGTGAGGAGAGAAATCTGGTAGCCAAAGTTAAGAAGTCTCAGAAAAGCCACATACAAAAAAAAATTAATAAAAAGCATTTGAACAACAAATGTTTTCAAAAAAAATCATCATCACTGGGATACTGGGTCAAATTCCCAGCTGGCTTCAGTGTAGGTCTTCTGATTTCTGCCAGATATGGATCTGGCTCATGTAGCTCTTGTAAAAATGAATGACAAGGTTTGGGCTTCTCAGTAAAGTAATTCATTAATCAATACAGGCTTATCATACATATAATTTCTGAAAATGGGAATAATTTTGTCCTTGCATAAAGCCCCCTAGAATCACTAGGAAAATTTGCATGGACTTTATTGAGTTATGGATCACATCCTGTATATATCTACATTTTTAAATCTTTTCCAGTGCTTCCTCTTTCAATGGAAATTAATAGCTTCTTGAATTGAAATGACCAGTTTCCAATTTAGTTTTGCATAAGCAGAGTCCAGTGGGATTAAATATGAATGCTGGCTTGCTTATTCATTAATCATAAAAATATGGTATTCAGTTAGTTATGTAAGTGATTATTTTGGCACAGAAATGTCTGCTACTTTTATGCCTGTGCCTAAGGATCATGTCAAGTGCAGCAGAGAACTTGGAAACCCATTCATCTTTATATACTGTTTTGTAAAGAGCACACAAAGATGCATAAATGCTCAGGAGCCAATACTGATTTTGTAGATGTTAGCATAATGAGAGGTCAACGTGTCCAAGCATCTGCATTCAACTGTACAGTTACAGGGAGAAGCAGCAAAAGTTCATGTGAGACTTCTTTTAAATGCTCCTGGCCACATATGACCTATGTAAAATATTTTATTCTGAGAATATTTAAAAATGTAAACATTGCAGCTCCTGTTCGTTTAAAGTCTGAACAGTCAGATGAACAAGGTTGAACTGGCCCCAAACAATGCTAAATTCTTTGTTCCCATTCAGCTACAGTCTTTTGGGTCAAGGAAAAGGGAAAGAACAAGATGTGATGTGCCATTGGAAAATGGTAAACAGCAAGGAGCATATCAACATCAGATGCAAGTCAGAGGTTTGTTGAAACAGGTTCAGTACTTGGTTTCTTTTCCTGCAGGCTTGCTGGAAGCTGAAATTCGGCACTGGACAGGGTAATTCAATACGCTTGGCATATAAGAAGTTGCCTCACTGGCACAGACATCTTCTATCTAAAAATGAAGGAAATGCTAGTTCCACCTTTGTCTCCTTCCAGTGTCCTTGCGTCACTGGCACCCCATTGTCTTTTCCAAGTACAAAGAATAATCCCAGGCTTGATTCACTGTGGCTCCATTTATTGAGGCCAGAGCCTGCCATGTCCTTGCTCCTTGTAAAAATAAAATTCATGAATTCTCTCTTTTCTGGTCATTATTGCTACTTTATAGAAGGAAATGTGTTAGGTTTGGATTTTTATTTTCAAGAAAAGATGTAGGCAGATTACAAAAGTTTCATTATATTGGTCCCACTGAAGTCTCCTTCTCTGAGAAAGCCATGGCTGAAAAGTAGTTCCTAGCTGAGAAATTGGTCCAGTCTCGATTTTTTATTTCTTTTTTACATGGTGAAACCCAGAGCCTGATTGTAAGAAAATATTAAAATTTCTTCAGCCTTTTTGCAAGTATAATGGGTATCTGTGATGGCAAAACTAGTTTAAACATTTTTAAACTAATACAAATAAATTTTAAACTAATACAAATATTTTGAACTGAAGAGATTAATAATCAGTTTCTTGTGTCTTTTCTCTTAGCTGCTGTTTTGTTCAGTAGCTAAAAAAATACAGGCTACCCTGGTGCATCTCTTGTACAACTCCCAGCGAAACAGCAGTGCCAGAAGGAGAGAGGGCTGCACAAAACATGTGGAGAAACAGGAGAATGGAAAGATGGAAGGAATCAAGTATAAGGCCTCATGATTTCTTAATCACTATGTCCACACCTTGTTCCATAATGCATACAAGATTTCAGCCACCCAATCTACTGAAATCCCTCTCACAACTTGCCAGCCTTTAACTAAACATCCCACTCTCATCCATGATGGGTTATCCATCCCCATTGGCATTGTGCTGTCTTCTGCATTATCCTGGGGTTTTTTTATGCTCATGCTATTTGTGAGTCTTAACATACTGTTGCCCTACTGTTAGTCATGCCGATCACTCAACACATGGAGATTTCTGGGTTTCCCAGCTGTTTGCATCTCTCATCTTTACTGTATTACCTACTGCATTTGCCAATGTCCTGTCAGCCAGTCATCCTGACCATCAAACCATTGTAACCCAGGGTAGTATCTGAAGGATACTGCTGAAAGGAGAAAGGCAGTTTCAGTGCTTCAGAGTATCCAGGTAGCCCTAATGACTAAAATTAATCATCCCAAAAGGGATTCAGTCAGAATTACCAGCAGAGCACCATGTTTCCCCACTGCAAGAGGAAGATTTTTATAGGCTGATCTGTTCCCTTCCTCCAACTCACTGCTTATAAGAGAGCAAGCCTCCAAAGCCGGTCTATGAAAAAGGAGCTCTTGCTCAGTCAGAGCAAGAGACTGTGGTAGTGCCCCTCATGCCTCAGCACTGTTTCTATGCTGTCTCAATATGGGTATCACAAGATCCCATTTTATCTCAGAAGGAACATCAGGTAAAGAGTTGCGGCTCTTCAGAGATCATCTCTCTGCAAAACTGTCTGCAGGTCTGGACTGGGGATGGACCAGCGAAAAACGGATTCCTTGCAGCCCACATGGTGCCCCAAGCGGTTTTTTTTTTGTTTGTTTTTTTTTTTTTTTTTTTTTTCTTGTACCGGGACATCCTGAGATGCTGCAAGCCACGCTCCAATATTCAGGACCCTCTTCCATATGGAAACCCCACGGCTAAACTGGGAGGCTGAGCTCCCCACGTCTCATGGGCATGTTCTCCACAGCAAGGGATGCGCAGTAACTCCTGAGTGGGTCGTTCAGCGCTGCTCCCTCTGCTCGGGGCTCCTCGCTCGGCACCCACACACCCCTCCCACGTCGAGGGGTGTCGGTTCCCGAGGGCTCCGCCGCCGGGCTGGCCCCGGCCGAGGTACCGCCGTCGGGAGACCCCGGCCCCCCCGCGCAGGGCGGGGAGGGCGCGCCGGGGCCCGCGGAGAGGGAGGGCAGCGCCGGGGGGAGTGGCCCGGCCGGGACGGCCTCATAAATAGCCCTCGGCGGGGCGGCGGCGGGAGGAGCCGTCGGAGCCGCCGCTGTCGTTCCGCGCCGGCCGCGGTCAGAGGCGAGTCAGGACCGCGGACAGCGCCCCCCCCGCGCCGCCCCGCGCCCACCATGACGGCGGAGACCCACCTGCAGGGCGTGGAGATCTCGGCCGCCCAGTTCTTCGAGATCTGGCACCACTACGACTCCGACGGTGACTCCTTCCCTCCGGGGCGGCGGGGGCGCGGGGGGCGAGGGGGGCGAGCCCGCGGGAGGCTGGGGGGACAGCAGCGCTGCCCGCCCGAAAGCGGCCCGGGCCGCGCCCGCCGCCCGCAGCCCCGCAGCCATCGGGAGCGGGGCCGGTGCCGGAAGAGGGGCGCGGGGAGCCGCTCTCCGCCGGGAGGGAGCAGCCGGGTCGGAGACGCCCCTGCCGGCGCTGGAGAACGGAGAGAGTTTGGAGGGAGCGGTGACGGCAGCCGTAATTCTTTCTGTTGTTCATTCAGGCAATGGGTTCATGGACGGGAAGGAGCTACAAAACTTCATCCAGGAGCTCCAGCAGGCACGGAAGAAGGCAGGCTTGGTAGGTTAATGTTTCGCCCCACTTTTCCGTCTTCTTCGGGAAAGAAGAGTTTTTCTTGAACAAACTCCAGTGCCCCGGTTCCTTCTGTTCTCTCTTGCCATCCCGCGGTTCATGCGCCGGCCGCAGCGGGGAAAGGGAAATAGCTTGGTTAGAAATTAGCAAATTGCAAATCTGATAAATCGTCTGCTTTGGAAAGGTGAAACCAGGGTCCACCTCACTGATGAGCGGCTCCCGCTCCTACCTTGCAAGGCTACAAGCTGATACCTCTGACAGTGCTTAAAAAGAAAAGTCAAGAAATGTACGGATGCTGTCTTTTTGCCTTGGATGGGACCTTATCCCATTGCAATTAATCTTATCTGATCCAGATATGTACTCATTAAAACTGGCGGGGAGAGTGGGAGACACACACACACACACACACAAAAAAAAAAAAAAAAAAAAAAAAAAAAAGGACGAGGAAAAAGAGGAAGAGAGAACCCCATCACTTCAGGGTAGTTGGACTCTTAATTTCTTAATTTCACACGTAATGGGCAGCACGGGCTGAAATGCGTTTCTGCCCCTTGGTGGTCACTAAATAGATCTGCAGATGACTCCTAAACACTTATTGCTCTTCGCCAGGAGTATGAGTACCAAATCCCGGCTGTTTAAATGGCTCAGAGAGACAGCGAAGTTTTTGACAGTGTTGTCAAAACACTTCTGTGTATGAGTTATTGAAACATTAATTATTCATTTCCTCCAAATTATACCCATGCAGCGGGGAAAAAGAAAAGGGAGAAATAAATAAATAAATTAAAGATTCTATGTAAAAATACAGCCACTCTTAGCATCAAAGCCCAATATATAACTTAATGGAATCGGTCTAAATGAATCTATGCTAAAAGAATTCTGAAGAAACAGAAAAAAAATAATTTAAGAGGATGTTGTGTGCTTCGAGAAAATAGATTAATACTTCCTAATAAAAATGCCTCCAAATTGAGAAATAGCTTTTCAATAATTAACTTTGCTTTGAAAGTTCTATATATTTTAGACCTAAATGCAGAAAAAAAATAGTTAATATGAACCTTAATTGTTTTTGTGGAAAATTGTATAATATAAATTGAATCAATACAAACTTTACACATATGAAAATCTGTCTCTCAACAGTGCCTTTTATGTTACTGCAGTCTAGGTAGCAGTTAATTCTTGTAAGAGATGTTGGTGTCGGCTCTCATTTTCCTGAGTGTAAGTTCAAACTAAAATGAAAAATAAAATAAAGCAAAATTGAAGTTAAAAAAACCCCAAAACAAAACAGAAAATTGGGAAATCAGTGTGGGGATTTTTTTGAAGGAAAAAGTCTTATTTTTTTTCACAGAAAAGATTAATCAACTTCAATACATTTCAAGTATTGCAACGGAACAAATCTCTCTTCTATGCTAAAGTGCAGGAAACTTAAGTATGCTCAGTTGAAAGAAGATATTAAAGCCTCTTTATATTTAGTATGAATGGCACTGTTAGTAGAAATGCTAATATATTATTGAGTAGTTGAAAATTCATTAGAAGCTCAAGGTAAAAAATATTTATAATTTTAAGGTCAGAATATTTTCTCTCTTGAAGCAAGTGTGCATCTCTAAAAAACATAGCCTACTCAAAGCAACACAGAAACCCTTGCAGGATTATTCTTATCTGCTAGAAATGTTACAATGTATGTGGGTTTTTTTTAAATAACTCCTCCCAGTATCTGACACTATATTCTAAAAATGCTCAGATGTTTAAGTTTTTTCTGTCCCGTTTCTCTGATTCAAACCTAGCTTTGGAGTGTTCTGCTGAAAAGAGCAATCTACAGTAGGAAAACCAAATTCAGCACCTGGTCTGTGGGCTCTGGAGTATGGCTATATGTCATCTTAGGTTTCAAATCTAACCTGGTTCTTGCATTTGAAGGCTCATTTGCTAAACAAGCATCTCATTAGTTCATTTCTTGTCTCATGGGATACTAATTCAGTATTTTTGAATATCTATTCTTTTGCCAGGAGGGACACATTGAGAAACTAGTATAGGTTATATGTAATTTCCCTGTCTGTCCTTCTTTTAACACCCCAAAGCTTCTTTGTCATCATTAACTTCTGCATTTCAGGTCGCTCTTCTGCTCACTATATTTGAAATATTCAATTATGCATTCTCCATAGCTGGATTTTACATCAGTCATGCCATATGCATTAAAGAATCACATTGATGCTGTCATTGAATAGAATGGTTTAATATTTCCCAATATTCTTCCCAACTACAGAACTGTTCTAATTATGTTCTGATGCTAATCCTTGCATTAATCCACTCAGTAAGCCTGTACTTTCACAGCTGCTTTTTCTCAGACAGAGAGGTAGCACGCAGCTTGATTCAGGCTAGCCCCTCTGGAAGGGGGGAATGTCTACTCAGAAGGTTTAGTGCTTGAGCTTTGGAAACATTAGGCCTTTTTGTTTCACACATTATGGTAGATACTGGTTGACCAGGTATAACTTTAGCCATGCTAAAATAACTCTTTTTCAAAGATGAAAGCTACAAAAGTGTATAAACATAGTTTCTGTTTATTGTGACCCACATTTATGCAATACATTCTCTTTTTGGGAGTGCCAATTGCCAAAAGAAACCCTGGGGTGTAAGTGACCAGTGCAGAGGTTGATAAAGTGCCAATTGGTGGGTCTTGTCTGAGCTATTCCAGATCCATTTCTCACTTTCCCTGCCTGTATAGATAACGACAACACTTCTCCACAGAAGCATGTTATTTATGAGTACAATTATGTGAGCATTTCTGTAGTGCCAATTATCCTTCCATTGTCAAATGATATCAGAAAAAGCTAATTTTTTCCACTTGTTGGAAAAATATCTTTTCTGAGGTGTCTGACTAAGGTGTGAAGGGCTAGTTTCTTCATTTCAAAAATTGAGCACTGCATCTCTATCAGGTTTAGGACTAGTCTTGGTTAAATTTAGGCAATTTTTATTTGAATAACATAACTCAAATAACTCTTCAAGCAACTCATGAGCAGGTTAAGTGAACACCAAAAAACTCACCATAATTTCTGAATAATGAACTAGAGGATAAGTTTCCTGGTTTGTTTAACCTGTAATCAACTGTGCCTCCTTCAACGGATGGACATTGTCCAGCACTGCAGAACTGCAGAAAGATTAGTAAAATATTTAACCAGGACTAATTAAAATCCAAGTGTCTAATTCTCCATTCTATCTGCTAAGCAAACTTGTCCCCACTTTGGGATCATTAGATGAAAGGTGACTTTGAAGTCCATTGTATTAATAACCACATCTCTAATTAAAGCCATGGCAAATTACTAACTTGCTATGGATGACTTTGACAGAAATAGGATACTAGGCCATGACTGTATCAGCTACAAGGAACTGACATTTTAGTTAGCTTTGGCAGGTGAAATTTGGGACAAGCTACAACAGACTTTCTACAGCTGAGAGTCCCCGTGTCTCCAGTGAGAAAATCACTTAGGTCCTATATAATCAGATCTATTATAACAACTAAACCTTTAATTTCCAAAGTCTAATGTAACTTAATCTATAACTGTAGAATTGTCCATTGTTTCAATATAACTGTAACCCTATTCTTGCTGAATGGTTTCACTAGCTTCCACCTCTAAGAAATACAATGAAAATTAAAAGTTCAATCAGTATTGAAGGTTGATGACATCTCATATCAAAGAAAGACAGCTCAAGTTGAAGTGTGAAATCAAATATCTATATATTTACCCCAGACTGGCACTTCTTGCCGTAGCCTGGAATGAGAATAGTCTTTAGAGGACAAATGTATAGCAGAGACAATAATCTATATGTACAACAATGATGGCTTTATTCTGTCAGATTTAAGGTACTACTTAAAGTTTTCTCCCGACTAAATCTCCCTTTCTACATTTAAGCAGTGACATTTTGACTCTGTTTCCATGATAACCAAATACTAAACAGTGAAAAATATGATATTGTGATGAGATTTTTAAGACTAAAATAGCATCCATTGTTCAGGAAAAATCCACTCAAAGACGTGGAAGACTATTTTGGCATTCAGATATATTATACTGAAATTTTCTCCTTATTTTGAAAGATTCTGCACTGCCTTCAAATTACTAATTTAAAAATGAAAACTGAGAAAATGGAGTAATAATTGCCTATGAACTTCACTGTCACCCTCTCAAACAAAGGAACTGTTAGACACATCTTCTAACACATCTGTCTTTACAGTTTTTTAATTCTGTAAACTGAAATAGCATTCTAAGCATTTAGATGCCAATCATTCACGCCGGCTATAATATAATTCCCTATGAAGTAAAATGAAAAAAAAATTAATTTAAACTTGACGAGTGTAGCTGCCATGTGTGAGTACTTCATTAAATGTTGCATATTATTTGGCAAATAATAGATTATTCAAGTATGTTTACATATGTTTCTTGTATTTTAAAGTAATGATTCTATCATTGTAACTTTGTAGGATTTAACACCTGAAATGAAAGCTTTTGTGGACCAATACGGGAAATCTACTGATGGAAAAATAGGTATAGTTGAGGTAAGACAGTTACTTTGTAACTTTACTTGAAGAAAATACATTTAGCACAGAATAATGTGAGCATAATATGCCAATACTTAGGATTTATAGATACACAGAATATTTCTTCTTCACCCTTAAGATCTTTTTTTTTCTTTTCACTAATGAAACCTTTTCATTAACAAGTAATGTATTCCTTACCACATTCCAGACATTTCACCACAACTCATTTAACTTTTCTCTCTTCATTCAGTGCAAATAAGCATCAACAGAAATTTAAGTTTTCTACAAAACAGAATAAAGGTCAATTTCAGAAATTTAAATTAAAAAGGTAATTTGATGAGAAGTAATGTGATGTAGTGCTACCTGTGATTTTGAGCTCATGCTCTGTCACCATTCCTAATAGTGCTGATAACATCTGAGTGAAGTTAATTGGGCAGTTACTGTATGTATTCTATTCTAAAAATCCCCAAATATGTAACCCAAGTAAGTCAGCATGTTAACCATGACTAGGAATTAATTTATTAGGATTTCCTTTCTTGAACTTTAACAGAACTGCAGGCAGAAAATTCTCACATTCCTTACTCCCATTTTCTGAAGAGGCTGAAGATAACCAGCTTCTCCTCGTACAGCTGCTCAACACTTGGATAACTTAGACAACTTGATAGGAAGGGGGGAACCATTGTGTTTTCTCTGAATTTCATTCTTCAGCACTGCAATTCAAAAAGGAGAGTTTGTGAGGTTATAGGGTTACAGTTTGAGAAGTCACTTTTCTGAGCTTAAATCAATGACTCATTTATGCCACTCCGAGTGCAGTGACACTGCGGTTTTATTAAAATATACTGTATTTTTTTCCTGATAATAAGAAATTTGACCTAGAGAGCTAATTAAGAAACAGCTGGAAACAAGCCAGGCCTGCAAAATTTCTACAGTGACCAGCTTTGGTATCTAATTTTAAAACTGAGGACTGAATAGAATCTGTAGAAGTCAATAGAAAGTATCACTGCTGATACAATAGATCGTTTCAAAATACCTTTTTTCCTTTATCGTATGTCTGAATTTTATATCCTTGTTTAAAGGCATATGTAATTATGACTAAACTACCACAGAAATGTGAACAATTTGTTACACTTGCGGCCACAATTGATTTTTGAAAGTGCATCTTTTAACAATACTTAGCATTGATCAAATAGCTTTGCATCTAGAAAGAAGCAGAGTTTATTTAGTACAACATCTCTTTTTGTTTTGGACTAACAAATGCTAATTTATTTGTTATTGAAGAATTTTATTTAAATTAGTCTTTTTGAATATCTGTGGAGCCAGCACTGATGCAAGAAGAATGTGTGAACAGTGCCTGAAAAAGACTGTGCTTCTTCACTTAGTAAAGATAACTGGAAGTTTTACCTTTCAAATTCTATTTCTGATTCTGATATTGACTTAATGAGGGAAGATGAGCAAATCCAATAGGGTCTGATATGGCTCACCACCCCCAGTGAAGGGCCAAGCATGTTCAGCATTCATGGAAGCAGCTGAATAGTGATAGTACGGAGCTCAGTGACTGAAGGGACTTTCTCCTTTAATATAGCAGTTTCCAAACCCAGTAGCTGTATTTTGTTTCCCTTACATCAGCATGATGCTTGATTTGGAAACTGCTGATGGGACTCATGAAATAAATGTGTGGTACGTGCAGAGCAGTATGATATTAAAGTTGGTACTTGGACTGGACTCTCCTTCCTTATATTAAAAAAAAAAATCCAGTAATTCCAGATTGTTCCCGTTTACATACTACGTCAAATAGTTTTTCTGAAAACTGTGTGAACGCTGTTCAAGAAAACTTATGTAAAGCCATTCAGATTCCCAGTCCTCAAAATGGACACTCAGCATTTGACAAAGAATGAATATGCCAGCCAATAATGAGTTTTCAGGAAAGGTCTGTTGACTGAGATAAAGAGGAGGCCAGGGTGGCTTCACAGAGGAAGAAGTGGATTTTCAGCTCAGATCAAGTGTTGATTCTGTCTTTGCAAGCACACTGCAGTTAGTTTGCTGGCTATTATCCAGTGTCCTCCAGCTAAAGGCAGAGCCTGACCTGCCCACTTTCTTTCCATTTTGTAAGAGACCTTTAATTCACCTTTTGTACTCATTGAGACCAATGCTTTTACTAAAATGTGGCTGTGAAACCCAAGGTTTCAAAACTCAGAGCTGCAGCAATTTCACATTCAAATTATTTGAAGATTACTGCTGCCAAAAAATCAACTACTTATTAGCCTAAAATATTCTTTGTACTCCCATGCTCTATTATGGGATTTTAAAAAGCAAATTCACTCTATCAGGTGAAAGGAATTTTAAATAGCATTAAATATCAACGGAATTTACTTAGAGAACAATGTCTAGAAAATAGTTCTGATATTGTTTTAGGTACTGAGAGTATTTTTTCTGCTAGGTAGCCTATAAAGACACACCTCAACCTGCAGCTGACCAAAGAGAAGTCAAACCAGTCTCAGGCTTTGTAGGTGTCCTCTATTACTTGCAATCCAGAGATAACCAACCTTCTCCATAAAAGCAGCAAAGCTCAAGGCTCACTAAACTGCTATTACTGCCATACACAGACTTGCAGTGGTCTGCACTCTTACTCAAACATGCTCACAAAGCCCCCCTATGCTCATCCCCACAAAGAAGTCATCATTTAAAATAGCACCAGGTTTCCATCTTTCTTCTTGGTAGTGGTATAAAACTGGGACTGGGAATTTGAACCAGTTTCCACACAATCTACTCATCCCTTTAATACTGTGGAGTTTTCCACAAAAAGCAATTTAATGCTTTCCCCTGAGACTTACAAAGGGTGAGAGGTATAGCTTAAAATAAGGTAATTTTCTTTCAGAGGTAATGCCTCAATTACAGTTTTATACTCCTAATAAGCTGTTAATGATCCTTTGGACAGTTACTATTTTATGGTGCCCTTGCAAAATTCACAGGAATTGGCTATGTCATTGAACGACATCTTGTTTATATTTTCCACACAAGCAAATACTTTCCCATTGTTATAATCAGTCACTTCACTCAAACTATCATTTTTTTTCTGAATAGTTCTTCCATTCAACATTTGCTGTTAAATAGGAGCATACTCTAAAAATCAAAGCTTTTCTGTCATGAGAGAAATAAAGACATTTTTTCATAAATCAGGACTGAGTTACACACATTTAGCTATTGCATACACATAAATATATACTCACCCATATGTGTATATTCTGTTTATAATGGAGTAGGTTTTGAAAGCTGCTGACAAAAACGCATTTCTTGGGTTGATTTTGATTTCATGTTCAGCCACTTAGCAAAAGCACTCAGAAGGCTCTGATGGGCCTGTCAGCCTGTCATCAGCTGCACCATTTCTGTAAGGAGAGTGCTCTGATGTGTCTTTTCAGCTGTACCAACACTAACAGAATTTAACTGGTTCCTTGCACATATGATTTTAGAGAAACAAGAGATATGTCTCCATAACTTTGTTGTGTCTGTGAGGTGAGAGCTGAAGTCACTTACAGCTCTGCTGGTTCCCAATAAAAAAGCCTCAGCAATTAGGCAATAGCACTGAAATAGGCAGGACAAAAGATTTGAGGGTGTGAAATGAAGGCAGAAAAACAAAAATTTGAATTAAAATTTTAAGATGGGACTCCAGAAAGTCTGCAGATGTCATTTTACATAAAATAATGCAGCCTAAGAAATCTGTCTTTCTCCATTTTCTCCATAGTAAGCACAGCTGGTCTATTCTTCAAGTAAAAAGTTTTTTTTTTATTCAAAACATATTTCATACATTTTGAGGACAGAAAAAAATTGGGCTTTTGTTAAAAACAAATCATGAATTTACATTAAATTATACAGCATACTTTCCATCTTCTACATTTGTCACTTGCCAAAATTGAGTTATAGTAAATGAACATTTTCAATAATCAGTACAATAATGTCTGATTTTAAAAAAAGCCTTTTGTAGAGGCATTGGAAGAACCATCCCTGGTTTTGCAGGGCTAAAAGCCCTCTTGATTTCTTTCTGGTATTTATAGCTCTTTTTGAACATATCTCTGTGACTGACAAATGAGAACTGCCATCCCTTACCCTCCCTATTTTCTGTGTTTTTTTCTCTTGGCTTTTCCTTATATTTAACCATTTCCATTACACATCTGTTCTTCATGTCAGTGTTCCTTTCTTTCTTGCTCTTCCTTGGTATCTGAGTAGTCTATATTTCTGTTTTCTAATTCATAGTCCTTCACACTTATCCTCTGTGAATCCTTGTGTTATGCTTTCCCTTCATGCTGATTCAATGGATTTTAATACAAATTCTAATTCTGCATGGGTGAATCTTTTCCCCCTTTCCCCAGCTCCCCTTTTAGTAAAGTGCTACCTCACTCCTTTCTCTCAGACCTCAAGTGCTGTTTGACCTTGATGACTATGACAAAGCTGCAAGCCAGAAGCCTTTCAGAGGCATCTTCCAAACACTTCAGCTAGCAGGATGAAGCTTCCAAGTGGCCACAATACGGCAGCAGCAGTATGAGCACAAAGAATTCCACACATTTTAAAAAAATCTTCATGCTCCATTACAGGCTCAGCTGGCCTGATGAAGAGCCAAAATTCAATTTTTCTTAAATTCTCTTGCAGCTTGCTCAGGTATTGCCAACGGAAGAGAATTTCCTGTTGTTCTTCAGATGCCAGCAGCTAAAGTCAAGTGAAGATTTCATGCAGGTACAGTATGAAAAGTAGTCTGTTACAAAATCATCAAAGACCTGCTTGCCATAAACATATTAAAACATTCACATTCTGATTGCAGACATGGAGGAAATACGACAGCGACCACAGTGGCTTCATTGATTCTGAGGAACTTAAGGTAAACCAGTATCTATGAGCATGCACAATATGAGAACAGGTGTTGGATTACAGCTTGTGCAGCTATCTCTTTCTTCAGATACCCACCTGTGCATGTTTTTGCATTTCAGACATGACAAAAAATGCAGTACAATTAGCTGATGTTTTTATCGCTAGTAAATTATTTAAAGTGAAACTCTAATCGATCAATGTTTTTTTAAGCCATGTTTTAATTCAGATCAGTGTTGGTATCAAGTGACTTAGGGTACCAGGTAGCTTAGAAGTGAGAAAGATTAGGAAAGCAAGATGAGTCACTGACAGCTATGTTGGTTATTTTTTTGGCCTCTTAGGGAAAAGAGCTGCTTTCTTGTGTTTTTTCTTAAGAGCATCACTACTATTAATCACTATCCTGCTGGACAGTTGATGCTGTCTCAAGTACCATGTAACCCTACGACTTCCTAACTCTAACACTGCTAGACTAACACAAATGGAATTGTGCTGCCACTGCTTGGTTAGCCTAGTAGGATTTTGCTATCAGCTTTAATATGCACAAATAAGAGCAGAATCAAGGTTACCCCATTGGCCATCTCAGCTTTGCACAGTTAAGAAATCTTGAAACAAGAGTGATTTTATTTCCCTAGTCATTCAACCAATACCAATTTGTCAATGCTGAGTTAGTGTCACAGAATCACAGCGTGGTTGTTAGGAACCTCAGGATGTCAACCTCTGGTTCAACCCCTCTGCTTAAGCAATACCACCCAGAGCCAGTTGCTCAGGACCTTTTTCAGATGGCCCTTGCACATTGCCAAGAATGAAGACTCTACAGCCTCCATGGGCAACCTGTGCCAGTGCTGTGGCATCCTTGCAGTGAAAATGTGTTTCCTGATGCTCAGAGAGAACATTTTGTGTTTCACTTTGTGACCATTGCCTCTGGTCTTGTCAGTAGCCTAGCTCCATCCTCTTTTCACCCTCCCTTGAAGTATTTCTATGCTTTGATGATGTTCTCCTGAAGCTCCTCTTCTCCAAGCTTAAGCATCCCAATTCTCTCTGCCTTTCTTCATAGCAGAGATGCTCATATACAACAGCTTTCTGAGGAAAAAGGTGCCATTTTCCACAGTCCAACTGCATTTGATTCATTATTGTAGCTTTACATTCAAAGGAATCAAAGCAATTCATAGCAAGAGAACTGTCTGTGTTTATCCAGCTAATTTGGACTATTTTCTCCATATGTGGTATAAAGAAGAGTGATGTAAGTTTTAAATAAAGCACCAGGAGATCAAACTGTTCAAAATCTTTCCTGTTCTTCTGCTCAGAAAAGAAATCCATGACAGAAAAAATCACATATTTTTTTTCCTTTTCCCTTTCTCTTTTGAGTTTGATATCTGTGTGACATTTGCTGAGGATCTAAGCTTAGGGTAACCCTCAGCAGACAAGCCCATTCTTCTGCTGACCGGTTGCACCAGGCCAGTGTTTTTAAAGTTGCAGGATCAGGAAAAGGTAGCACTTGAGAACTCTCCAGCTGTTAGATGATGCCTGCTGACTGCTATATTTTAAAATAGATTTTAAAAGGCAGGGTTGATTGAGGGCCAGCTGAAGAATGAAGAAATTTTAACTGAGTCTCTAACGGTTTGTCTCTCTTGTGATGTGACGTTTCGTTTGCCTCAGAAAAAGAGGTAATTTTAACACTGAAAATAAGACAATAATGTCCAGTTTTATTTTTAGATCAGTGTTTCTTGGCAAGCCCAAACATTTTTAAGCATTTGCTATGGGAGGAGTACACCCACTTACAACTTTGTAGGTGAAATTTAAGCTGGAAGTCAAGAAAACTTTCTAACAATAGTAATGGCAGTAGAATATGTTGTCTAAGGGGGAGGCAGACTCTTCATCACTGCCTGTATTTAGGAAAGGTTTGGCAATAGCTCAGATCAGAGACTAATTCAGGAAGTTTAGATAGATAGAAACTTTCTTGAGACATGGACTGAATAGCTTTTTAATTTCCCTTCCAGTTCTATTTTCCACTGAAGCACACAAGATTAAACAGGCTTCTGTAACATCCATTCACAATGTTTCAGTCATGTTCTTCATTATACAAGCTACCAGGAAGGGCCTCCAGCCTGGAGGGGGCCAGGCTAAAATACCACTATTGACATGGTTGCATTCAGGTCCAGGAATACAAGTATATTTTCTTACAAGCTCTCCCATTTTCTGTCTTGAAATGTTGCCAAAAATTCTGCAAGGATAATGACACTCCAGCTGATGACAGGAATTAGGTCCTTCATCAGGTCTTGTAATGCCCTTGCTTTACAATTTGGTATCTTCCTTTTTTTGAATGTCACAGATCTAGTAAAGAAATTTAAAACATGGACTGAGTGAAAACCATCTTATCTTTTAAAGTAAAAATGGCTGGTGTTTCAAATCATGTGACATCAAATTCTCATTCAAAAATGCAATGAAATTGGCTGCACACATGTAAAATACAAAGTAGGAAGAACAATGTTCACTTCTAGCATCAGGTAATGCCATAGGCAAGGACAGAACTCAATTAATCATTGATCCTTTCTGTAAAATTGTTCAGATGCTGCAAGAAGTGATTAGGCATACAAGTTTTCAAGGAGACCCAAGGTTAATTAGTTTAGTTTACTGATAGTGCACATTAAGAAGCAGTATACTGGAAAGCCAAACTTTTTTCCAAATTCACAATACAACAAATGGCATGCAATGCAGTAAGTTTTATTAGTTACTTTTTCCAAATAAAATGCAATATACTTGAACTTACCAAAAGAAACATATACTCTTAGCTGTTAATAACATTTTTTTCCCTACCTATTTGGAACTTCAGTAGTAAATACTAAAGTGGAAGTAAAATAATATTTCCCACTACTTTAATCTGAAGTTAGCAAAGTCAGTTAGCAAACATTTTATACTGTAGACAAAAATTCACCTATTACTCTATTTATTTTAACAGAGCTTCTTGAAAGATTTGTTACAGAAAGCAAATAAGCAGATTGAAGACTCAAAGCTAACGGAATACACAGAAATAATGGTAAGTTTATTTAAAGGCATAATGGGTTAATGGGAAGTTACTCAGTAACTGCCATAATGGGTTAATGGGCAGTGCTGCTCAAAAAAGGAAAGTCCAGGAATTTTTAACCTTCTTGGTATTTATATAACATTATGCCATGCCATTGTATTTTCCCTGTTTTGCTCCCTTGTGCTGCTAGCTGTAAACCAAAGTCCTCACATTTCACAGGAGCAAAATTGTTCTTGACATAATTATATTGTTTAGATCAAATTAATTTGGAGTTACTTTCTATATTTTGCCGTCTTTTAGTGCATGTCTGTCTCTTGTCTTAAAAGATATCAGTGCATTGTGGCTTCCTTAGATTTACAAATACCTCACACTTTCTTTCTCCCCTTGCTTCAAGGAAGATAATTGATATTTTAGACAAACACTATAGCAAAACTCTTGCTTCCTTGGTCATGCCATCCTTTGAACAATCCATCCATCCCACTGCTATGGCAGTCCGTGGTAAGGACCAGTACTGGCTTCTGTATGGGCTTTTCAAGAAAAAAAGACAGAATTCTGGTCTTCAGGAAATGTATAAGTCTACATTTTTTTGTTTTACCAGCTTGTTTTCATCCAAAAATACTTGTAACAATCAAAAATGTTCTAGGGAGATGCACAAGGACACCAAACTGGCTTAAGATTGGCTGAACAAAACTTGTGTTTCTCCTGGAAAAAGTCTGCTGGTCCTTTGTACCAGTATAATCCATTTACACAGAATTGTCACTGCTCATTCACTGCTGAAGATAACATTTGCATTCAGAGAGCTTTTTGACCTCCATCCTAAAGTGTGCTGTAAGTTCTGGCCTCTGCAGAGACGCACATTGACAAAGAATTTAGTTAAAAGAGAAAAAAATAAGCCCAACCCTCCAATAATCTCTGCAGAAAACAGAAGGATAATAAAAAACACACAGTCCTGAGCAGCTGCTGGCAGGCAGAGCCAGCCACTAACAACTCATCAAAATACAGAATAAGTTCACTTCACAGCTGCCTCTGCTTACCTCCCTCAAATGCAAATCTGTTTTCCTGGGAAATGCACACAAGGCAGATGCTTTTATACAAAGGAAGGAAGTGTTAAAAGGAACCATGGTGTTGTGTAGAAATAAATGTTCATAGAATGGGTCACTTTTTTCTGGTATCCTTTGTCATTTATTTTGTATTAACAAAGTGAAATTAGGCCTTTTTTCATTGCATTACATTAGCTCCCTCTTTAAAAGGATGTATGTCAATGTAGATGTATCAGTACAGGATATTGCTTTTCCTCTTATCTATAAATTACATCTAAAATTACTGGGATTGGAGGTGATGGGATGGAGTGTGGGTGGTGGTGCTTTCAATACAATATTTTGTAGTCTGCTGCTTTTGTGACTCTTTTATTACACAGTAAGTGCAATATAATGTTCGAAAGTAGAAAAATGCAACTATACAGACAAATACTGGAAGAGAAAGTCCTATGCAGGAACAATATCTTCATCTACTTCTAACAGCTTTTATAAGCTGTTTGTGCTTCTCAAGTGGCAGGAACTCATTCTTTCAAGGCCTCAAAGGAAGACAGTTTAATAGTACAGCTATTGAAAAGTAGTAAAAATAATAACTTATTTTGTGGAATTATATTAACATTGTTATTATTATAATTTAATTATGCTTATTTGGAAAGATTTATTTTCCCATTTTCATACCATCAATAAAATAGGATCATCTGCAACATCTGTTCACTTTTTTTTTTAATATTTCACAGTAAAAAAATATTGTCTCCACTTAAACAGTTAGACCTATTCAATTGAATGAAATGTCTAGTGTTTTCTGTCTTCAGAATTGAATGCCTTGGATTCTGTTGCACTTAACCCAACAGTTTTTCACCTTTATGAATAAAGAATAATGATTCTATTACCCAATCATGACATGAAGTCAAAAGTAAAGTATTATCACATCAACACTCCTCTCATTTATAAATAATAACATGCACATTTCTCATACAGGACATTCATTCAGCAGTGTAGGCAGGCTAAGACCTACCTTACCCCAGTATAATCAGAATTGCTCAGCTGGTTTCTTATCAAGATTTTGCAGTAGAATTAATTACTATAAATTACTTAGTCAGTACTTAAAATAAACGTATTACACAGCAAATGTGACCCGGGGACATCATGTCAGGACAAAGTTAATTGGATTTAAGTTTTCCAAATAAGTGTTTTCCTCATTAGGTTGATTAATTTTGATTGATATATTAAATATACATATTTTTTCAGCTCAGGATGTTTGATGCAAACAATGATGGAAAGTTGGAGCTTACTGAACTGGCCAGGTATGTCTTCTGTTTCTTTTCACAACAAATATCATATACCAAGTGCTGTAATGGGAACAGTTAAATATTTTGACCTTTGTTTTTTTTCTCTCCAAAGACTGCTCCCTGTACAGGAAAATTTTCTTATTAAATTTCAGGTATGAATATTCACATTATTCAGTAACCTATTACTATCACACATAACTGGTGTCATTAATGGATTTGTTTTCCTTTTGGCATTTAGGGTGTCAAAATGTGTGCAAAAGAATTCAATAATGCCTTTGAGATGTATGATCAAGTAAGTTTTTAAAAAATGTTTTTATAATTGGTGTAGTTTATTGGCACTTATTTTCTGAATTTGTGAAGAACTAGCCATAACCTCTGGAACTAAAATAAATTTTTTAACTTATCTTTAATGGTATTTTTTAGGATGGCAATGGCTATATAGATGAAAATGAACTTGATGCCCTACTGAAGGATCTCTGTGAAAAGAACAAAAAGGTAATCCTAGAGGGCTTCTTTCCCCTTAGAGATTAGATTTAATTTGGATTTTAAGGACGCTTTAATCCACCCTAATAAGATAAATATAGAGCTTCTAAGTAATAATTCCTGAAGTCAAAGTACAACTAAAAATTGTGGTGGAAATAATAGCAGTGTAAATCCTGAACTAGGAGAGTTACAGTGTCAAGAGCTTGCTTGCTTCTGAGATACCAGCTAGCAGCAAGCTAACATATGGCTATCACACAATGGATAACATGCAAATCTATAAAAACATTTTAGTGTCTTACTGTTGGACAGGCTGGGAATATCTGGGATTTTTTCTCATTTCCTGCCATTGGAAGTAAACTTGTTCATGCTGATAACTAAACAGGATTATAAAGCATTATCTGTTCTTTAAATAGGAATTAGACATTACCAACCTTGCAACATACAAGAAAAGCATCATGGCCTTGTCTGATGGAGGAAAGCTTTACCGAGCAGAATTGGCTCTTATTCTCTGTGCTGAGGAAAACTAGAGCTCTTCTATCATGTCCACTTAACTAGTGATGTACTCTACACAATAACTGTGCACTGTAAGGGAGTAGGCTGTATTTTTAAACTGCATATAGAAAATTAGCCAGGATGTGTGGCACATTCCTTTCAGTTTGTTTCTATACTGTTTGTAATGTACAGTTTTTGTAACAAAGATTGATAAAGAGAATGTCAGTGTTTGGGCCAGTCTGTATATTCAAAAAGAAACTACATATGTCAGGGTTGGTTTTGGTTGGGTTTTTGCTTTCATAAACATGGCTGGAGAAAAATTAAACCTGCTGACATTGCTGTGGTCATCATATCCTTTGACACTTGCAACACTTCTTGTTAAACTACATAACAAAAAGATCTACACATAAACACATATCTTTCCCAAAACAAATAAATGTGGGGTTTTTAAATATGAAACATGAATTCAGATTAAATATGATCTAGGTCTGAAATAGGAAAGAGACATTGGCATGTCTGATTTCAAAAATTTAATAAGGCACTAAGAAATATTTTGCGTTGTTAAACCACCCACTTACAGGTTTTACTCTCTGCAGTCTTACAATTACTCTTCTCATTGCAAATTCATAGCATATAGACAAAGCATTTATCTGGAATAGATCTCCATGCAGTAGCTGATAAAAATATAGTGTTCTCAATCTAGCTGTTTTACTGAATTTAAACATAGGCACTTCAGAAATAAATGCCTTTAATCTGTCTTGAAATCCTGGCTAAATGACAGGTAGTATAGTTAACACACAGATTAACATATGATATTATAAGTGTACCTTTCATGACTATTGCTGTGTCAGAGAATATGACAATCCATTTTCTAAACTATTTTCACATTTTGCAGGTTATAATTATTCTAGTAAATTGCTGTTTTTACATCATATTCTGTGTAATCTATAATTAAATTTAATATCCTAAGATGATTGGTGTCTAGTTTGTGTATGTCCTGGATTCTTGTATCTGTACCATGTAAAGGACAAAGTGACTATTTAAAAAAAAATGTGCCTCCTTGGATCTTACACTGAATTATTAGTATATCTCATTAGCATTAAAATTTGACATTAAGTGAAGAAAAAAATAGTACAGATTTTATTACAATTTAGTAATTTAGTTTACATGGTGGGCTCTGCTTTTTATTATATTAGAGATGTATTTTTTAAACGGGAACTATACTATGAAGCAGCCCTATCTTCTTGCATCCTTGGGTTTTTTTGGCCTGGCTCCCTTTTTACTTTACACCAATTTTATGCCAGGCAACTTCATGAATGTCCAGGCCACTGCTCCCAGTAAGTACTGGAGAAGGAAGGAAATTGGGCTGTCTCTTAATGCCAATAAACCTATGCTGCCTCCACATACAACTGTTTTGGAAGCACTTCCAGGTATACAACTTCTCAGATGCATTTCTGTGTCTTATTTAACGTATGGAAGCAAATGCATTTTACTTGAAATGTGTCTCAAACAATGAGGCTCAATCCTTCAAGATTACAGTCAATGAACTCCCAATGAAATGAATCCTTGAATTCCTCAGGTGAACTCAAGCAACTAAATACCATTTCAGGATGGCCCTGGGCTCTCTCCAGGCTGAGCTTCAGAAAGTTAAGGGGGTCTTGCTGGGAATAAAAACCTCACAAAAAACTAAAATAAGGTTAAACCAGTTCATTCTCACTGTTTTACTCCCACTCCATGCACAGTGATTTAACGTCTTACCTGCTTGTCTCCTCTTTTCTCTATGCAATGTGAAATACAATTGTGTACATGAAGGAAAAGTGAATCTGCCTATCAGTACAATAAATGGTTGATATTGTTCATATTGTCCACTTGAAACCCTGAATTTTGCCTTATTTTAACATTTTAAAAGTGTAAGGAAAAAAGCCCCAAACATTGAGTGTTAAAATGTGTTTGCTACATCATTAGAGTGAGAGATAAAGCTTTTAAAGTATTGTGACAGAGTCACCACAGAAACTGAAATCTGTCTTCCTGAACATAAGTAAAGGTAACTGTCACAGATCCATTCTGAAGTCACCCTTGTGCTACTGCTGCTGCCCACCTGGCTCTGCTGCAGGACACAACACACAAAGCAGGTCTCAGTCACCCATAGGCAGGGTGTTTCCTGCAGCTATTTCTCTTAAATAAAACTTGGACTAAAAGGCAGCAGTTTAGAACCCTAGTTTTACCAAAGATGCCTACTGTCAGTGCAAAGCAAATTGTGACAAGTATGGCTACGTCAAAACTGCTGTAAAACCTCCAGGTTTTAAACTCTAAATCACTCCTGGGCAGACTGGTTTTTATATGTCTGGGTTGGGGCAGAACAAGGCATAATAATAAGAGAGGTGATGATAGGGAAGACTTCTTCTTCCTTCTGGTAGCCATCTGGTGACCAAAGAAAAATCATAGCATGCACAAAGATTATTTACATGATGTAGTTCAGATATGCCATATTTCAGCTAAACACAGAAACTGAGAGAGCTACTTGGCATCCTGTTTACTGAAGCTATTAACCATTTTCCTGTCTATAAATACGTAATTTACTACAATACACATGCAAAGAAACACACAAGCTAACAAATACCAAAACCCGCTGTCCTACAATTTACAAATATGCCTTAAAATATTTTAGCCCATTCTAGTTTAAACATGTACAGATTAAAACTTAACGTAGCACTAGGTATCCAAATCAAAGAAGGTGATTTAGAAATTTTAAAGCACAAACCAGCAAACTTAAAAAAAAAATAACAATAGTAACAATGAGGCCCTTCAAACCCTTGGCATTTGCAGTGTTTGCTGACAGAAGTAAATCTTAACAGTAGCAGGTGAGGCAGAGTGAGTGCCTGCTTCCACCTGGGCCCACAGCACTGTCCACCAGGGCACCTCAGGGGCCGTTTACACTGCCCAGCTAACCATTATGGAGAATATCATGTGAATTTCCACCAACACGACCCTTGAAACAAATACTTTGGCTTTCTTTTGTTCACTGTTTCACTGTTCTGTCTCAACAGTTCATGCACAATATCATAGCGCTGATCTAATCCTCCCTGTTTAGAACTTAGTTATCCACCTTTGAAAAAATTATCCACACAAGCTGATGAAATTTCTAAACACCATGTTCCATGGGCAAATGTCAAATACAGACCAGGGTGCTGACAGTCATCAGGACTTTTATGCAAAACGAACCTTGTCAATGAATAAAATACATACACACTGCTGCTAAAGTCCCCTTAAACCTCAGTTAAGGCTGTGTTTCTTTACAAAAGATTTGCTTTTTCTGATTTTTACTAAGCTCTCATCATAATCATGGTTATAGCCACTGGTTATGGAGGGCAACTGAAATCCACTCCTACTTGCTGTGGTTTTGAAATGATACAGAATACATACTTGGGCACCTGAATATACATGGCCTGATTTTCTGAAGTGTTGAGCACCTCCAATTCCCATGAAATCAATTGAAGTTGTTCTTCAGCAACTAAAAGCAGGTCAGTGCACTCAAATCCCAAAGACTATTTTATTTTATTGCATATTAAATGATCACATAAAAGACTGTGGGGTTACCTTTATTCAAGTGGCATTAATTATTTAGCAGTTGCAAGATGCTATATTGGAGGACAGTACAAACTTTCTTGCAGTTCAGCGTCTTTAGTTACATGTTATCAGTATAGGAAAAAAAGAAAATATAAATGAGCAGTTCACATGAACTTGGAAGCCAGTACAGACAATTAGGAACTCACAGTTCCCTCAAACAGTATCATCCTCTGTTTGTAAAGCAAATCCTCAACTTGGGAAACAGAAGCAATATTCTCAACAGTGATTAAAATATTCAGGAAGAGAGAGTTCCCAGAACTAGGAGAACTAAAGACTGACAACAGTTCTGCTATCATAGTGAAGAGGAAATACAACAAATTTCTCTCAGTTGCAATCTTAAATGATTTTCATAACCTGTTGATAAGCCCCTACTATAGCACAATAACACTTTTGCAGTACTGGATTAATCTAATAAATTGTAACAGGTTCAAAGACAGTAAATCACGAATAGAAATAAAAAGGGTAATTTCAAGATTTAATTAAGCAGACAAGATGTACTTTTCAGTTGAAAACAGAACATGAATCCCCCTTGTGGGTGTCTCCAAGTTGAGCTCACGGAAGTGATAACACCTTTCAATGACGGACCATGCAAAAGTCGTTTTTAAAAAGGTATTTGGATTTTAGGGAAGCATCCTTGTGACTCATGAAAATTAAACTGCCTCTGCACCCCTACTGTCTCCTGTTGCAATCTCCAATGTACACCATTACCTTTTCTGACTCATTCCTCCATGATCCTGTCCCTGCAACTTCATAAAGTGATTTTGCCAAAAAGCAGTACTTGTTTTTATTCTTCCTTTTACATTGAGGCTCACTGGCAATCTCAGGGTGAGAAATGTAATAATCTCAGGACAAATATGCAGCCTAAGACAACGCAGACACTACCTCTCCTGACAGTTTCACTGTGTTTGGAATAAAGTAGCTGTGATGACTGTGCTTTATTTCAGTCTGTGAGTACTACAAAGCTGTGGGGCATGCTTATTGGACATCTCTTGGGTTTTAGCTGTATTTTATGCCTTTTTCAGGACAGTCTAATCCTCAGCAGCTTCTTTTGGAGTTTCCAAATCAGACACTGCCTGGGTTAAGTAGTAGCTATAAAGGTTCTTTCTCTTATTCTTTTCCAGAGTTCAGATATCATGTGTTGCTATTTCAGTAACAATTGCATTGTACTTAGGCAAAACATAAACTTGGGATGTTTAGGATTCATGTCTTCATAGCAATGTTCCTTTCCTGTCCCTACAAAGTCTAACAACTCTCACTGAAAGAAATGTGTCCTAGTCAGACTATTCCATTTTCCTGCAGCAGTGGATGACAAGATCAGTTACGTTTTTCCACTCAAGTCTATGTATTAGCAAGTATTTTGTAAGTAACACAGAACTCTTAAAACATTATATGCCATTTCTAAAACGTG